CTGGAGCAGCAAATAACGTATAAACCTGTAAAATCAGCAATGCATTAAATGTCATTTACTAGCACTATCTCCTACCACAGATTATGTTTAGAAATGCCTCTATCTCTAATAAAAATCAAACAGATCTTAGAACATACATGACCATACATGTATGCTGAATTTCTTTTACATTCATTTCTTCTTCTTCTTCTTCTTTTTTTTTTAAAGAATACCTAAGTTTGTTTTATTTTAGATCCTTCTTGGGCAGAGATCATTATTTACTTTTATGGGTAAAAACAGTACAGTTTTAGAAACAGACTTAATTTTTTAGGTGGTATCCTAACTACCTAATTCCACCAGATTGGGCAGGAACAAAAAGTGATTTAGGGTGTTAAAACATATCGATGGACAACCAGTAAAGATACGCTGAGTATCATTATAGTCAGAAGAACTCATAGCTCTTAGTTAATACTTTAACTAAAAGGAGGTGATGACCAATTTTCCAACCAACAATACCTGCAGACTTTCAAATTACTAAGAAAGGGGGAGGAGGAATACCAGACAAAATAACTATTTAAAAAAAAAGAAAACCTCTTTTGTTAAAATGTAAGCATGAAATGGGAACCTGCATCCTTAATCTTTTTTTTTAAATAACATATGACTTAGGGAAATAAAAAACAAATTAATAAATATATTTTATACCACCAAAAGTTTTGTTAGTAAATGGAACATAAATAATTTTACAATTAGACACTGGATAGACACCTGATGAAAGACAGATGAGGGGAGGAAGAGCTATTTAATACTAGGGAAAGAAAAACAAAAAGCCCAACAGAAAATTGCAACATTTCATTTCATTATGCAGTAGTACAAAATCTTACTTTAAGAAATAAACAAGTTAAAACAAGGCCAGGTGCGGTGACTAACACCTGTAATCTCAGCAGTTTGGGAGGCCGAGGTGGGCAGATCACTTGAGGTCAGGAGTTTGAAGTTCACTGTGAAAACATGGTCACAGCGTCACCAACATGGTGAAATCCTGCCTCTAATAAAAATACAAAAAATTGCCGGGCACAGCGGCTCATGCCTGTAAACCCAGCACTTTGAAAGGCCAAGGCAGGTGGATCACAAGGTCAGGAGTTGGAGACCAGCCTGGTCAATATGTTGAAATCTTGCCTCGTTTAAAAAAAAAAAAATAGCCAGGTGTAATGGCAGGCACCTGTAATCTCAGCTAGTCAGGAGGCTGAGGCAGGAGAATCACTGGAACTCAGGAGGCAGAGGTTGCAGTGAGGGGAGATTGTGCCACTGCACTCTGCCTGGGCAACAGAGTAAGACTCTGTCTCCAAAAAAAAAAGGTTAAAGCAATTATATATTCAACTTTATTATACTGCTCATGTAGTGTAGCCCCTAAAAGGCTGGGTAAACATGGCCAAGTTAAAACATTATATGTCTAATAAAAAAATCTTGCAAAGTTAATCAGGTACTTCATGGAATGAAGATTCTCACTGCCATTACTACACTACATTCTCAAAGATGATCTTCAACTGAAGCACAGTGCTAACAAGTTATGTATCCAACAGACGGCTGCTTAGGAAAAAGGTAAGTAGAAATATTTCCAAACACAAACTAATAATACAAATGCAATTTCTCAGGAGATGACATATAGCTGGGCATGGTGGCACGTGCCAGTAGTCTCAGCTACTTAGGAGGCTGAGGCGGGATGACTTGATTGGGCCCAGGAGTTTCGGCCCAGTCTGGATAACACAGCAAAATCCTATCTCTATGCAAATCAAAACCACAATTAGAATGGTTATTAATCAAAAAGACAAAAAAATAATAGAATGCTGCAAGAAAGTGGAGAAAACAGAACTCTCCTACACTGTTGATGGGGATGTAAATTAGCGTAGCCATTCTGGAAAACAGTACGGAGGGTTCTCAGAAACTAGAACAACTACCAAAAGATCCTGCAATCCCACTACTGGGTTTATCCAAAGCAAAGAAAATCAGTATATCAAAGGGATACCTGCAGTCCATGTTTACTGTAGCATTATTCATAAAAGCAAAGACAGAGAATCAACCTAAGTGTCCACCAATGGATAAATGAAGAAAATGTGATATATATACATAATGGAATGCCATTTGGCTATAAATAATTATAAAATTCTGTCAATTTGCAGCAACATGAATGGATCTGGAGATTTAGGTTAAGTGAAATAAGCCAAGCACAGAAGGACAATTATCACATGTTCTCTCTCACTCAGATGTGAGAGCAAAAGAAGTTGATTTCATGGTGGTAGAGAATAGAATGATAGTAAAAACGTGGGGGGAAATAGGAGTGCAGAAGTGAGAGAAGTTGGTTAATGTGTGCAAACCAAAAATTGGCTAGAAGGAGTAAGTTCTAATGTTTGATAGCAGAGTAGGGTGACTATGGTTAAAAGTGTATTTTATGTTCCTTTTTTTTCCTTTTTTTTTTTTTTTTTTTTTTTGAGACGGAGTTTCGCTGTTGTTACCCAGATTGGAGTGCAATGGCACGATCTCAGCTCACCGAAACCTCCGCCTCCTGGGTTCAAGCAATTCTCCTGCCTCAGCCTACCAAGTAGCTGGGACTACAGGCGCGCACCACCATGCCCAGCTAATTTTTGTATTTTTAGTAGAGACGGGGTTTCACCTTGTTGACCAGGATGGTCTCGATCTCTTGCCCTCGTGATCCACCCGCCTCGGCCTCCCAAAGCACTGGGATTATAGGTGTGACCCACCGCGCCCGGCCTATTTTATGTTTCAAAATATCTAGAAAAGATGACTTTAAATATTCCCAAGACACAGAAATGATAAAAACACAAGGTGATGGATATTCTAGACACCCCGACTGATCATTACATATCCTGTGCAAGTAAGAAAAACCCATAGATATATACAAAATACTATACATCAATTAAAAGAATTACAAGCAAATTTAAAATAAAGATTTTGATAACAAACACCTGTAATATGAACAAACAATTTAAGTAAATATGGATAAATACATATTCTTAATGAACTGAATTCACTGCCTATAACTGGCTTGGCTTGCACAAAGTAAAATTTAAGGCAGAAATTGTAACTATTAGCAAAACTACATTTAACTTTAAAAACTGTAAAGGTATCTACTATGACTTTTAATTAATAGCGAGAATTTGTCTCCCGCTTGCAGTGTGCCTTCTTTTAAAATGAAAAGAATTAAAAATATATACGAAGTTATAGACTAACTTAAAAATACATTAATATTTTGACAACCTTTGGCACTTAAAATGATATAAAAGAACTATATGAAACACCTCCAAAATAAAGAAAAAAAGCAAGTTGACGTTAACTCTGGGTCAACATAATTTTGAGTTTCCACACGATGTTTTTTTAATAGCAAACATCATTCAAACTTGTAAATCCATTACTTAATGAAGCTTTGAATCTTTGAAAATCTCCACTCTGCCAGAGAAATTCGTTTATTTCTATGCTGCTGCTGTTTTAAACTTTGTACACTAGGAAATTTCTAAGAGAAAATCCATGGGTTCAATTCTCGTACAAACCGTCCCCCCAAAACACAAGCAAAACCTCCTCCCCAGCTTTTCTTCATAAAGAACTGAGCAAGTAATTCAACTACCCTTTTTTCAGTTATCCTTGCTTTGAACTTTCCACTACACACTTACTCCCGACCAAAACTGACCCTGGACAAGGCTATTAAAGCTATGTCTCCAGGAGACTCAAGTTGCGTTTCGCGGTCAGGCCTGGGAGCAGTAGGCACCCCCACCCCCGCCCAGTTTTCAGACTTCTCCTAGCATTTCGCACCCGCTCAGTTCGAGTGTGAAGAAGTGGGGGCGCAGAACGCTGGGCCCGAAGCAGCAAAGCCAGGGCCTATACCGCAGCATGGTCACCGAGGCGGCTCGCGCGGTGGGGAGGCAGGAGGCACAGAGAACGGAACGCCTGGGCCAGGGGCATCAGTGTAAACGCAGAAGACGCTCAGACTTGGAGCGCAAGGCCCAGGACCCTCTTCGCTGCCTTCTTTGCCCTCCCTTCCCCCATGCTGGAGAAGCAAGGCCCAGGCCCAGTGCGGGAACGGAGAGGAGGTAAACCAGTCCTGTCACCGCACTGAGAGTGGCTGGAAGCGGCACATGCTTTACGGGGAGAGGCCGCTGCCGCCTCGGCCGGGGCCTCAAAAACTAGACACATCTCCACCCCCAGAGTTCGTTCCCTGTGCCTCACCAGGTCGTAGTCCTCCTCATCATCGCACATGAAATCATCCTCCATGTCAGACATCTTGGCCGGGAGGGGGAGGAGAAATTGGAGACAACCTCCTCCCACAATCCTCCGCGGCTCAGAGACGTCACTCTCAGCTTCTTTTCGCCTTCCTGTCCCTCTTAGAGGAGCTGTTTCCTGCCGGAACCATTACCTCGACATCTAGAGAATTCGGTACGACTCCAAAAGGGACTGCACCACCCACCTTTTCCTGCGAAGCGATTGGTGCCTTAGCAACTAAACCTAGCAACTGGGAAATTGTCAGGGGCTGCACGTCTCAGCCGAAAGGCGTCAGAAACTGCGCTCGCATCGAGCAATTTCCAGGCTCCTGAGTAAGGGAGCAGTGTCCTCCCTTGCCTGGGACTCTGGAAGCATCTCATTCCGATGAAAGTAAGGGACAGCTTAGGACCAGAAGCCTTTCGCGGAGAAAAGGCTGACATGCCGTCCTATATGACAGGTATTATTTCTGCTGTCATCGTACGTGTGCATTTAGCTCACACATTACGGTGGATTATCCTAAAATACTTGGGAGTACTTTTCAGCAACACAGTTTACACTTAATGCTTGTTATATTTGTAGGAGACAAAACGATTCTGTGGATATCCCAAATTAGGTATACAGGTATCAGTTGAGTTGCCTTAAATCTTACTCAGTTGTTCAACGAATTATAAACTGACCTTTACAGCCATTGGGACCAATTTAAGGTAACAACGACTGGTTTTTAAAAAATACATTACGGGGAACCTGAGGGTATCATGTTACGGGGAGGTGGGGGCTGCGGTGACTCGCGGGATCAGGAATTTGGACCTAGAGAACGGAGAAAAACGGGAAATCAGCAAGATGAAGCCCTCTCCTGCTGCAGGCATCCCTCTACCAACAGCCTCCTGTGAGAGCAAATTAGTCTCTATCCAGAAATTAAGGGAGAGACTGCTCGTAAAGATGACAAGCTGCTATCATTTCTTCATTTCTAAGAGATGTATATGTTGATTTCAAAGATCCTGTGTCTTCCGTGCAGGTAAATGTCCGACCTACCCTCTGCGGGAAGACTGAGCTCGTTCGGAAAAAACCGGACCGCAGGCTAGAGGAAATTCCTTAAGTTCAGGCTTTATTGAGAGGAAAGAGCCTCCGGGCGGACCAGCCGGGAGGAAGAGGAGAATGGCCGCCGCTCAGAGGAGCAGGGTTGTTTTATAGGGGGCTGAAGGGCTGGGGGGTGGGGAAGCCAAAAGCCGAGGTGGTGGGCAACTGTTGGTCAGTTTGAACTGCTGGGCGGGAAGCTGGGCGGCGGGAGGGCTAGGGCCGGTATGTAAAGTGAGAGATAAGGGAGCCTCTTTGTGGGGGAGGGAAAGAGAGAGAGAGAGCTTTTGCGGTAGGGGCAGAGTTTTCCAAACATTCCCGACTCCTTAAAGAAAAGAAAAAGAGGGGGTCAGGGGCGTCGGTTGTCTCTCTGGCTACTTCCTGCTGACAAGGGTCGACGGGGGGGTTCTGAAGAGGTTTCTTTTCCTAAGGAGCCTGGAGGTTTGGGGAGAGGTCTGCTTCTTGCACTCGTTCAGGGTGGGGTTGGAGCAGCATCTGGTGGATGGTGACTCCAGTCAGTTCTTGAAAGAGCCGCTGTAGGAACTGGAGAAAGCAAGGAGCAAGAAGTAAGATTAGGCAAACGGCTATTAGGGGCCCAAGCAATGGTGACAAGAGGGTATACATAGAGGAAGACCACCACGCTGTGGCTTCAGCCGAGAACTTCTGACTCTAGAGGTTAGTTTTGAGTTTCTGGAGGCTCTCGATTCGGGTTTCTACTAGGCCGGATTCATTGATGTAGTAACAGCACTCTTCCTGTAGGAAGATACAGGTCCCTCCTCGTTCAGCAGTGAGCAGGTCCAGGGCTCTTCGGTTCTGCAAGGCAACTTGGGCAACTGAGGTGATCTGTCGTTGGAGTGATGCTAAAGACTCAGTAGAGTCATCAATAGCCGCTTGGAGTTGTGAGGTCAGTCGGGCTATAGCCAGGTGAGAGTGGACTAGTGCCCCTCCTCCTAATCCTGCTGCAAGTGCTGAACCAGCAAGGGAGACTCCAACGGCAATGGGTAGGAAGGCAGCTCATCGGGTGCAGCGATGGGGAGTTTGCAGCATCTGGAATTCGGCTGGGGAATATATAGTGAGTCAAGGGACTAGGGTTACCGGGAGGCATAAAAGAGATGAGGAAAGGCCAATGTAGAGAGTTTTTGTTAAGGTCTTGTTACACCCGAAAAACGTTCCTCGTGGGGTTGTTACATTAGTGGTTACCCGTATAGTTCTGTTACAGCTAGGGACGTTTCGGCCTAGGGAATGTGGGGTTTGGTAGGGGATACTTGGGGTCCCATCGATTCCCATGACCAAGACCTGGGAAGGGGTGAGATGGCCAGAATAAGAAGGAAGAGCGGAGTAGGTAGCCCCCATGTCTTGTGACCCTAGGCTCGGCAAGGGTAACCGGAGTCGGAAAGCCAGGGCCCCGCTAGTCATCTAGCAGCCCTAGTAGACTGGGGAACGGAGCTCCCTCGGAGGTCGGCTCCTGGCAAGCAGGCTCCTCCCTACTGAGGGTGACCGCCGGCTGCGTAACGCCAGTGTGTCTGTTTTGAGGAACCGGCACCCTGGGGAAGCTGGGGCAGTCTGACTTCCAGTGTCCCGGGAGCCGACAGATAGGGCAAGGCTTAGTTGGTGGCCGTGGTTGTGGACAGGCTCGGGACCAGTGTCCTTCCTTTCCACATTTGAAACATGCCCCTGGAGGGGCATGGGTTTCGGCCTTGGGCTTCTGGTTCCCTGCTGGCCTTAGAGCCGCCACTAGGGCTTGGGTCTGGAGGGCAGCCTTCTGCTTCATGCGAGTTTGGCGGGCAGCCTCAGCCGCATCTTCCATGGCATTGAATACTTTAAAGGCCATTTTTACCAGGTTTTGGATGGGAGTCTCTGGCCCCTCTTCTGCTTTCTTTAGTTTCTTTCTTATGTCGGGTGCTGACTGGGAGATAAAATGGGAGGCTAATACAGTGGCCCCATTTTGGGAGGCTGGATCTAGTCGAGTGTACCGGACTAGGGCTTCTTATGTTTGAGTGAGGTATTGGAATTCTTTAATATAGGTGGACGGGTTGGCTGAGAAGGATCCTAAACGTTTCTCAATTTGGGACAGGTCTTGGAGTGAGAAAGGAACATGGACCCTGATTAAACCTTCTGCGCCTGCTACTTCTCGGAGTGGGGCCAGGATAGCTGGCTGGTGGGAGCGGGTGTGGGCCGCCACCGGAGAGGCAAGAGGAAGTGCAGCCTCTGAGGGAGGGGGCTCGGAGGGAGTAGAGGGAGAGCGAGGCATGGCCTCTGAGGTAGGAGGTGCAGAGGGAGTGGGGGAAGGGCGTGCCGTTGATGGCGAGTGGTTGCTGAGATTGGCAGGAGAGGACAGATGTTCAGGCAGATCCTCCGGTGAGGAGTAGGGAGGGGGAGAGGTAGTGGAGGAAGATTTACGGGGGGTTCGAGATAAGAGGATTTGGTAGGTGGAGCAGGAAGAACATAGGTTGGGGTGGGTACGGAGGTCCCAAAAAGCCTGGACGTAAGGAATTTCATTGTCCTTGCCCGTGCGGCGACAAAAATCGTCGAGATCTCGGAGGGTGTTGAAATCAAAAGTGCCAGTCGGGGGCCAATGTGACTGGTTACTGAGTTTGTATTGGGGCCAAGCCACCTGGGACAGGAAAATAAGCTTTTTCTTTCTGAGGGTTTGGGAATATCCCAATTTGGTAAAATTTCGCAGCAAGCACCCGAGGGGGGTGCTCAGAGGTATTTTGGACTCCGAATTTCCCATGGCAGGTGCAGCTAAAGACTCTCCAGTGCGGATGGGCAGATGTAACGAAAAGGCGTCCCCGTTCGTTGCAAATTCCCCGGAGTACAATTAAGTACGGAAAGGGAAGCGGTCAGAGGGGCGTCCCCCGTCTGGCGGCTGTCCCTCGGAAGGCTCCTGGAGCCGGAATGGAAGACTACCTTGGCTCGGCCGAGACTAGGCAAGGAGTCCGTGTGGAACGCCGGAGAGGGAGCAACTGCACCGTGCCATAGGAAGAGGAGACGGGAAGCGGGGGAAGGCAAAGCAAGAAAAACTTGGCTTACCTTAATCAGAACGTGGAGGTGGCAGGGCCAGTGTTGGGTAGGTCGGGGAGGGGGGCCGTGGCCGGGCCAACGGCCCCAGCTCCCGTCCCGGGTTTCCGGCACCATTTGTCCGACCTACCCTCTGCGGGAAGACTGAGCTCGTTCGGAAAAAACCGGACCGCAGGCTAGAGGAAATTCCTTAAGTTCAGGCTTTATTGAGAGGAAAGAGCCTCCGGGCGGACCAGCCGGGAGGAAGAGGAGAATGGCCGCGCCGCTCAGAGGAGCAGGGTTGTTTTATAGGGGGCTGAAGGGCTGGGGGGTGGGGAAGCCAAAAGCCGAGGTGGTGGGCAACTGTTGGTCAGTTTGAACTGCTGGGCGGGAAGCTGGGCGGTGGGAAGCTGGGCGGCGGGAGGGCTAGGGCCGGTATGTAAAGTGAGAGATAAGGGAGCCTCTTTGTGGGGGAGGGAAAGAGAGAGAGAGAGCTTTTGCGGTAGGGGCAGAGTTTTCCAAACAGTAAAAGCTGCTGAAACATGTCAAGAGCCAAAGGAATTTAGATTTGCCGAAAGGCCATCACTTTGATATAAATATTGAGAGCATCCTCAAAGGCAAAATTTCCATGGTAGAAGCAGTGACATTTCTCAATAATCATAAACTTTAACCAGGAACATGGGCTGCTGAGAAAATAGCTCAAGAATACCATTGAGAACAGAAAGATGTGAATTCCCTTCTTAAATATTTTGTTGAATTCAAAATCTTCCCTCCTGAAGACAAGAAAACAATACAATCAAAATGAAGAAAATCACAAACATTTCCTATGTGTACTCCTCATCCCTCATCCTGTATGTTTTCTCATTTTTTGCATATTAAATTATGTTAATTACCAAGTGTTTAATGCTCTCATTGTGAGAGCATACTCTTAATATTTATTGAGCTCCCTGACTTTTCAAGATTGCCATAGAATGTATTTTGTTTTCTTTTAATTTGGTTTAGGTATATTTCATATGTACATGTCAGCATGACTAATCAGCACATCTGTAACTTTATTGTAAGTAAAAGTTAGTTTGTTATTTTAGGCACATCATACCAACTTTTAAATTGGTCATATGATGCGTTGGGAAATGTCTTGAATCCCTCATTTAAATTTTACTTTCCAAGTTAAGTGTTTTTTAGTTCATTCTTCATATGTGATAGTGGAAGTAGAAGCTTTGCTGACTCTTAAGACTGACATTTTCTTGTCAGCAAAAGAGACTGGATAGCAAGCTAGACTAATAATATTTCCCAGAGAAAGGCGCACAGTAAAAAATAATGAATCAATAGAATCTAATTAAAATGACTACTCCAGGGAATAAGAATTACTGAGGATTTATTTTATTTTGGATTGGTTTTAAGTATGGAATAATTGTCTTTACAGTTATAAAACGTGATTAATTGTGTTTACAAAATGTTGGGAATTTCTGCTTTGACAAACAGGTAAATCCCATGGCCTTCAGAGAGGCAGGCAGAAGTAGAAACTTTCAAAAAAGTAACATTTCTCTGGATTTAACATGGAAATAGAAAAATTTAAAGAATTGAATAAAAAATGGTAAATGAAATTTGGTGATTATATATTGTTTCGGATGTTAACACTAGTTGAGAGAAGAGAGAAAAAATAGCAAGTAGAAGCAGAGAACAGGATCATTAGAAGGGACCTGAGAAATTGCCGCTTCACCCATTTTAGCAGACTTAGCACAGCATGTACCGGTACTAGGATCTTGAGTGAGGTGTGTGAGTTTTGCTCTGCCTAATATATTACTACTTATGGGATCTTTGGGAGACTATATCTTCTTTGAGATGGAATTTCTTCTATACAAAGAGCATAATGCTACCTTACCTAAATTTAAGGGTTATCATGAAGATAAATGAAATAGTAAAGGACTACAAAGGACCAAGCAAATATGAATTATTTTTTGCAGTGGAGAAACTAGCACCTGGGGAGAATATATGACCTAAGCTTTCTATAGTTTATGACCTAACCAGGCCCAGAATTTAGTTTTTCAAATCCTAATAGTGTGTTTTTTCTATTGTGCCAAAAAGTGGCACACCTCAGAGAAGGGAAAATGTGTGAATTGTGGGTATATTGGGGATAGCAGTGTGTTTCTGAGGGAAGATAGGCATCACTACTTCCCAGAGACACCCCTGAAAATGATACAGAAGATGCTGAAGAATTCAACATGATGGCAGAATGAGGCATTTGTAGTAATGCCAAGAACAGAAAAATGAACTAAGTGGAAAATTTGTAACCATGCTTTTGAATGTAGATTTGTTATGTGAACAAATTACCTAGTTTATTTTTAGTTCAATACAATAGTTGTTTTAAGAAAACATGAAATAACTACTCAGTATAAAATGCATTTAAAGACTACTATAAATCAGTAAAAACTTTATTCCCTTTATCCCAATAGTCACTAGTTGGGTCACTAATACTAGTACATGCTATTTCTGAGCCATCTTTATTCATGTCTACATTGTGTGGTTGGGCAGCTGTTATGTGGGGTCACATGATAAAATAAAGAACTTCTTCCCATACCATTAAAAAAAACCACACATTACTGTTACACAGAATCATTGGCAGAATTCAAAATAAACAATGAAATAAAGGAGGAAAACCACTTTTCAAACAGGTAGCATTAAACTTCCAGTTCTGTTCACATGAATCCACAAATGTTACGCAGTTAAGTATAGGATAGGTTTGGATTCTTTTTGCATCTATGTAGCAGGATAGGTCAATGTTTGTTAGTTTGTTTCTATTTAGAGACAGGATCTTACTATGTTGCCCAGGCTGGAGTGCAATGGTACCATCATAGCTTACTGCAGCCTCAAACTCCTGGGCTTAAGTGATCTTCCCACCTCAGCCTCATCAGTGGCTGGGACTACAGGTACATGTGACTATTCCTGACAAATTTAAAATATATATATATATTTTTTTGGTAGAGATTGGGTCTTACCGTGTTGCCCAGGCTGATCTTGAACTCTTGACCGCAAGCAATCCTTCCACCTCAACCTTCCAAAGCATTGGTATTACAGGTGTGAACCATATTGCCCAGTCTTAACATATATTCCTGATAATAATTATTTTAGTGGCTGTGTAATAATCCCTTGTTGAATGTAACAGTGTACCATGATTCATGCCATTATTGTTATACATTCAGAGTATTACAGAAATAACACATTTTTAAGCAGTTCTGCAGAGATTATCTTTGACATTTTATTCTTTAAAAAATAATTCCATCTGGGCATGGTGGCTCATGCCTGTAATCCCAGCACTGTGGGAGGCCATGGCAGGTGGATCACCTGAGGTCAGGAGTTCGAGATCAGCCTTGCTAACATGGTGAAACCCCATTTTTACTAAAAAGAAAAAATTAGCCGGGCATGGTGGTGGGCGCCTGTAATTTCAGCTACGCAGGTGGCTGAGGCCTGAATAAATTAGTTTATTTTGGACTACTAAAAAAATTTCAAAACTTTAGAATTGGTTATTTTTGAACTTATGCAAAACAATATATTAGAGGTTGGGTGCAGTGGCTTAGGCTTGTAATCCCAGCATTTTGGGAAGCTGAGGCAGGAGGCTCACCTGAGGACAGGAGTTTGAGACCAGCCTGGCCAACATAGTGAAATCTGTACTAAAAATACAAAAAATTAGCTGGGTGTGGTGGTGAGTGCCTATAATCCCAGCTACTTGGGAGGCTGAGACAGGAGAATTGCTTGAACCTGGGAGGCAGAGGTTGCAGTTAGCCAAGATCTCACCACTGCACTCCAGCCTGGGCAACAAAGAGCAAAACTCCTGTCTAAAAAAAAGATTCTGCTCTTTTCTGTGTTTACTGATGTTCCTAAACATTTTACATTTTGTTAAATTTAGGTTATCTCCCTATTAAAACTATTTACAAGTGACAGTGATGACTCCTGTTGCTCAAAATTAAACCAAAATGAACATCAAACTAGGATTTATTGGACCTCAGAAACAAGAAGATATAATTGATTCATTTGAACATCATAAAGAGGGACTGAAATAATAGTGAAAAAGCAGCCCAGAGACCAGAGTAACATTGTTTCTTTGATGTATCATTTACAGTAATGACCCAAAGGGGTGCCAAGGAGCTGCTACTCTTTGGCTAAGCTTTATTGTCCATTCAGACTTTGTCTCCATGTTTCCTTCCCCCTTCCTCCTGTATACAGAAGGTATTCAAAACTAACATTACTTTCTTATACTATATTCCTCATACTAGGCATCTTGCTAAGTAAGCACTTTGCATATATTATTGTCTCTTTAAACCTTTCTGACAATCCTTATGGGGTAGAAAAATAGTATTTCCTTTTCAATTTCAAGAAGATGTTCCATTAGTTCTTATTAGACATATCTAATGTGAAAATATTTAAACATTTGGCCAGGCACAGTGGCTCACGCCTGTTATCCCAGCACTTTGTGGGGCTGAGATTGGTGGGTCACCTGAGGTCAGGAGTTCGAGACCAGTCTGGCCAACATGGTGAAACCATCACTACTAAAAATACAAAAATATAGCTGGGTGTGGTGGCGGGTGACTGTAAACCCTGTATATAAAAGGGGGAAGGAAACACGGAGACAAAGTATGCATCTACATATAGAAATTCTGGAGCAGCAACTTACCGATGTATACAACTTGCTAAATCTCTGTAAGTTATGCTACTACCCCTAGTGTGCGGAGCATGTTGGCCCAAACTTCCTCAATCAGGAAACTTTGGAATGAATAGGTGTATTGCTAGTTGTCTTCATTTGGGTTTAATCTCAACATTTCAGAGGTGCAAAGTGCACTAGATTGAGAGTTAACAGATCTGAATTTTAATTTCAGGTTTGCTCCCAATGATCGCTGTGATCTTAGGCACATCACTTCACCTCTCATCGTTCATTCCCTTTACCTACCTATTCATTAAAAACCAATCTGCTTGCCCTTATGTGATATAGCTGGCCTAGAATTAGAACCAGTACAATGCCATTTTAAAATGGGAAAACTGTTTCCATTCTCCTCACAATGACTGCTTGCCATGGCTTCTGTAAACTACTAAGATTACCTTGCAAAATGCAAAGAGAGGAAAAGCTGCATACCTTCTCTTATCTGTACTGCCAGAATTGCTGGCCTTTGTTTACCAAAGTAAGCACCCCCAGATAATTCCATCCTGGCGCCAAGTAACCTAAAATTATGTGGACCCCACACCTGTCCAGATAATGTATAAACTAATGTTTATCTTGACCTCTGTAGACCACTTAAGTGGCAATCGGAATGACAAAAGTCTCATGGCCCTTGGAATGTCTGGAGCCCCCTCACCCTCGTCTCAGCCTAGGAAGTGATTGACAGCTTTCATTCCCATCTCCGCTCCTCACCCCCACTCCCAAGGTGGTTTTGTGGGTATAAAAAGGTCTTGTCACTCTTCTTTCTCTGCCACAGTTTGGAGAGACATGAGTCCTCCGTGGTCACCGGCAATAAACCCTGCAATTTGGCATACTTTTGTTCTGGTATTGACTTTCTGTGCTAAGTTCAATGCAACATTTTGGAGGTCCCACCGAGATCTTATTTTTCATCATCAGACAAAAGCCATTTCAGAGTCTTGCCCGGGTGGCGGCTCCTTCCTCGGAAGCCTCTAGGGGAGGCGCCCCCTGAGCTGTCTCATGGCCCCCTGAGGGCCACTGCGGAGGAGCCCCACCCGGCCGACATTCGCCCAAAATTCTTCAGGGTCCTAAAAGCCTCTGGAGGTAGGTTGGTTTGGGATCTGGGAACTGGTTCAAGGGAAAGGGCCTGTGGCGGGGGACTGATGAGTCACTGCAACTCTGACCTGGCAAGCCTCACCGAGATGTCGCTTGAGGCTTCTGGTGGCTGTCATAGTGGGTGGCAGCCTTCTGGTAGCTGGTATAGTGGGTATATCAGCGTAGGGTAGCTGGTATAGTGGGTATATCAGCGTCGGGTAGCTGGCATAGTGGGTGCCAGCCTTTTGGTGGCTGTCATAGTGGGTGGCAGCCTTCTGGTAGCTGGCATAGTGGGTGTCAGCATTCAATTGTTTTCCGTAGCCTCTGTGTGAGTGAGAGTGTGTGTGAGTATCTATGTAGTCCCACGGCTGAAAGCCACGGGGCTTGAGTGGGCCTCCACCCGCGGTTCCACGGGAGCGTCATAAGGCATAACGGTGATTCATCTCAGAGCTGTCCTACTCGGACTTCCATCCTGAGGTGACCAGGCCCGGGGATTATACGGGTACACCTCTAGTCAAGACGTTCCTGAAATACCCCTCCGGGGGTGTGGCCCGGCAGGCAACTGAGTGGTCTCCTCTGGAAGGCTCCCATCCCTTGTTCGTCACTCTTTCATTGGTCCTGTCTCGTCTGTAAATTTGTTAGTTTTATTAGACTTCTGCTAGCAGACATCACTGGTTCAGACCATCTTCCCTTGAGGTAGGAGATATATTACAGTGGTTGATGAACCACTGGATGCAGGGAACTTTCATTGATTATACCCCTGCAGAGATTACTCTCTTCTCCTTCTTTCTCATCTTCTTCTTCTATCACTGAGGCCTCATTCTTTCTTTCTCCACCATGTGGCAAATAGTCTTGACTTTAGTTGTTTTTATTTTCTTCCTTGTTATGATCATTGTGGTCTGTAAATTCTCCCAGCCACCTCCACTGGGAAAAGAGTATTTTTGCCCGTGCTGGGTCTGAGTCCATGTCGGGAAGGCAGTTGTGCCCCCAGCACCTCAGAAGTAGTTTCTTTGGGGTTGTAGGAAACAAAGTCCTAGATCAGGGTCTACGAGAGCTCTTTGTCTGGTTGGGATGGAAAACTGGTAACTGCCTATTCTGCCAGAAAAGTGTCCAATGTTATAATAAGCAGTGCCCGGTAGTGTATCACAGGGAGGCCTTACTAAAACCTGCTTTAGAGAGGGCAAAATTTGAATTAGAGGCTTTCCAAAGTTGGCTATACCACAGAAAAAGAAAGACACGGGTAGTAAGCAAGAGTCCTGAAAGAAAGGAAAAGAAAAGAAGAGAGAGGAGACAGAGACAAAGAAAAGAAAGCAAGAGAGAGGAAATAGGGAAAGAGAGAGAAAACAGAAGAGAGTGGAGAAGAAAGAAAAAAAAAGGGGGGGAGACAAGAATTTAATGCTTTTCAGGGTTCCTGTGTAAAAGTGACAAAAAGCTGCAGAGGCGAAGAACTCGAAGCCGGCCCAGCGGCTTGGAGCTCAGTTTAAACTGACCCCAAAAGCGTTTTTTCCCCTTCTCTGCTGGCTGCCCGCCCCACCCGGCTTTCAGGCAGGCCACACTGTCTCATGTAGCATTTGCATCTAAAAACTCGCTTTAAGAACAGCTTTCTAACTCTTTGTAGTGCAAATTATTTGTTAGCACAACAGTTAAGGTGGGGCTGGGGAGCCCCAAGCTGCAAGATTGTTAGTTCAAGTCCTCAATAAGGCCAGTCTTAAACTAGTAAAATCTCTCAGGGAAAATTTAAAACTGAAAGAAAACGACCAAATGGGCTTGTCACAGTCCTGACCATACACCCGCCTCCCATGCATGACAGAAAACTTTAAATTAGGGTTCTCTGGCCAGTATGGTGTTAAGCTAACCCCACAGAGGCTTCGCACCCTTTGTGAGTTAGAGTGGCCAGTCTTTGGGGTAGACTGGCCAGATACAGGGACATATGACCCCAAGATAACTCAGGCTGTCTGGAACATGGTGTCAGGGTCTCCGGCCCACCCTAATCAATTTCCATACATCGATCAATGGCTGAGGCTGAACCAGCACCCCTCTCCTTGGCTTGAAAAATGTATAAAGTGTGCTGGACTTCAGGTTATGCTAGCAGGCCCAAAAAAAGGGCCCCTCAGCACCGGCTGTTCTTCCAGGCCCTGCCAAGGACCAACAGTTGCCTCCACCGTATTCTCGGCCCTCGGGGGTGGGGTCCCAACACCCCTTCCTGGATAATTCTAATGACCAGCCCTTGTCTCCTCTCTACACTTGAAGCAGGGCCCTACACCCACCGGCAGTCCTTCTTCTCCGAGAGGCTCCCCAATAAGAAGAAAACAATTGGGGTCGCCCATTCTTTGTTCACTTCTTGTCAGGTGACTTATATAACTGGAAGGTGATAGAAATTAAGGAGAAGGCCAAAACACCAAGTGCTGGCACAAGCTTTATTAAAAGCAAGGAAAAATCTGCTGGGCTGCACCCAAAATTGACACGCAGCACCTGTGGCGTGGCAAAAGGAATTTTTATGGCCTGCAAGCCGGCAGATACCTCCAGTATGAGGGGCTGTGCAAGAGGGGAGGGGCTGGGGAAGTGCTGAGTTTAGCAGTTCCTGGGAAGGCTGGGGAACTACTAAAATGGCAAGAGGGGGAGGGTTAGAAAACTACTGAGATAGAAAGTTCCCCGGGAAGGGGTCGTGCTGGGAGGCTGGAGGATCTTGAAGCGGTAGCAAAGTTTTACAATAGAGTAAGTTCTGTCAGAAAGCTCAACATCTCCCGTTCTCTGAGAAGCCCCAGGCTTTGACAGGGCTCTTAAAATCTGTACTGCAAACTTATCACCCCATTTAGAATAACTGCCAACAATTATTCCTGAGTGTGTTGTCTAATTCTGGAGTAGAATCAGACAAGAAGCCCATAAAGCAATACGTAGGACGGGGGGAAGATCAGAAAATGCCAGGACCAAATTAAAATGGTATTTTTCATCTACCCGACCCCACATGGGGGCCCAACACCTTGAGGGGTCACCAGGCTCCGAACACTTTTCACCGGTAATTGTTAGAGGGGGTTAAGAGAGCGACTCCATGGGAGGGACTGTAAAAATCAGCGGGCCATAAATCTAGCTTTTGTTTCCCAGTCTGCCCCAGACATCAAAAGAAAGTTGCAAAAATTAGAGGGGTTTCAGGAAATAAATTTAGCTCAGTTGTTAGAAATTGCCCAAAAAGTTTTTAACAATAGGAACACCTTAGAGGCCAAGCAAGATAAGGGAGTTACTAAAGCAGTGATAACAGCACTCCAGGAAACCCGAGTTACCTCCCGGGAACCAGAAATCCAGCAGAGAAGCTGCTGCAAAGTTTTAAGAATTCCCCTACTTTGTTTGATGATATGCTGAGCCAAGACCTTGCTGATTTCTGAGCTGAGTTACAACTTACTCTTAGCCACAAAAACCCAGGAGGACTGTAAAGAGACCACCCAGTCATTACTAAGGACCCTACAGACTTTAGAGTGCCGGGTCTCAGCTAAAAAGGCCCAACTCTGCCAGCCGAGAGTTACTTACTGGGACTCTATTATAGAGAAAGGCAACCGGGCACTGGCACCCAGCTGAATCCAAGCAGTGCTGCAAATACCCACCCCCACCATGAAACTCCAAGTTCAAAAATTCCTTGGGGCACTAGGGTACTGCAGGCTATGAATTTTAGGATTTTCTGAGATAGCCAAGCCCCTGTATGCCTGCACTGGAGGAAATCAGCCCTTAACATGGACAGAGGTAGAGCAACAGGCTTTTGACAAGCTCAAGACTGCCCTGACTGTGGTCCCAGCCTTAGCCTTGCCAGACAGCTCTAGATCTTTCCAGTTGTTTGTGCATGAAAAACAGAGAGTTGCTAATGGGGTGCCCACCCAAACTCTGGGACCCTAATCCCAGCCATTCACCTATCTTTCAAAAGGACTTGATCCCGTAGCCTCTGGGCGGCCAGCTTGTCTGAGAATGGTGGCGACCCCAGCCCTATTAATCAAAGAGGCAGACAAGCTGACTTTGAGACAGGAGTTAAACTTAGTGGCTCCCCACGTGGTAGAGTCGGTACTCCGTGGAGCCCCAGAAAATGGATGTCAAACGCCGCCATATTGCTACCTGACAGCAGGCCAGAGGAGCCAATTCATGACTTCCAATGGACAATAGATGTCCTCCACGCTGCGCGACCGGATCTCACTGACGTCCCCCTGCAGAACCCGGAAGAGGTATTGTATACGGATGGAAGCGGCTTCATGGTCAACAGAGTCAGGTATGCCGGGGCAGCTGTGGTTACCCTAGAGCGAGTTATCTGAGCTCAGGCTCTCCCACACGGGACCTCAGCCCAGAAGGCCGAACTCATAACTCTAATAAAGACCTTGGACTGGGCAGAGGGAAAAACTGTCAATATCTACATAAATAGTCGATATGCCTTTGCTACAGCCCAAGTACATGGACCCATTTATAAAGAAAGAGGGCTGCTCACCTCAGAGGGAAAGCTCTATGGAAGCCCAGGGCAGTGGCATTAATACACTGCAAAGGACACCAGAAGGGAGATTCACCAGAGACAAGGGGAAATAGGGCAGCTGACCTGCAAGCCAGATAGGCAGCCTTGGGGCCAATAAAACCTCTGACTCTTCTTGTGACTTTGCCGGCCCCAAACCTGCCTCGTACCCCAACTTACTCGCCTGAGGAAGAAAACTTTGCTAAAGAACAGGGTGGAGGGCAAAATTCCACAGGATGGTGGCTTCTACTAGACATAAGGATTGTGCTCCCTGAGGCTCTAGAGAAGACTCTAGTTAAGAACACACCAGGCCATTTACTTAGGACAAACAAAACTCACTGAGTTGTTAAGGGCCAGATACTACATTCCACATTTACATAAGATTGTTAGGGAAACTACTATTCATTGTAATGTAAGCGACAGGGTAAATTTAGGAGACAGTAAAACTAGTCAAGCAGGAATAAGGCTTAGGGATACTAGCCCAGGGGAACAGTGGAAGGTAAATTTTACTGAAATAAAGCCCCCAGCTTGAGTCTGTAAATGCCTCCTTATGTTTACAAACACTTTTTCTGGATGGGTCGAGGCTTTTCCTACTAGGTCAGAAACTGCACTGGTAGTAACAAAGAGATTGCTATAGGACGTGGTTCCTCGGTACGGCTTGCCCCTGACACTGGGATCACATAATGGCCCTGCTTTTATGGCACAGGTTTCACAGGGCCTACCCAAGGCCCTGGGCATATCCTGGAAGCTACACTGTGCCTATCGCCCCCAGAGTTCAGGGCAGGTTGAAAGGATGAACCGGACCATAAAGGAAACTTTAACAAAATTCATTCTAGAAACCCGTGAAAACTGGGTCAACCTGCTTCCTTTTGTTCTCCTCCGTACCCGATGTACTCCCTATAAGAAAGGCTTTACTCCTTTTAAAATTATGTTTGGGAAGCCCCCTCCCTTACTCCCCAAACTTGCGGACACCATACATGCTGAAGTCCATAATCATACACTCCTTAAGTCCTTGCAGGCACTCCAGTCTGTTCAGTCCCAGGTGCATTCACTCATCAGGGGAGTTCGACCTACTCCAGGGGACCTCACTGACCAGCCGCTACACCCCTTCCAGCCGGGGAATAAGGTCTTAATAAAGAGATTCACTGCCTCCGGTCTGACTCCTCGCTGGAAGGGACCCTACACCGTGATTCTGGTCACCCCCACAGCAGTCAAGGAGGATAGACTGACTGCCTGAATTCACCATTGACACGTCAAGACTGCCCCCCGATGCAAGATAAGAAATAGTTTCATCCTCAACGGACCCCCTAAAGCTAAGACTTTTGCGCCGTTCACAGTTGTCATCCTAATCTCTTTGACTCCTGTAACCACCCCCCTTAATGCCCACTTATTGTCAATAGGTCATCACGGAAGGCTCAACGGGACAATTTGTTAGTACTGTACTTGGGGCTGGAACCACCCTTGTCAGCTTAACCCTAGAGTACATTCCCAGAGATCCCATAACCTTCTCCCTAGACCTCTGCACTCTCTTAAATGAGAGCCTAGATGCAAATACTATAGGACAAATGAAGACAAAAAGATGGGGTGGGGAAATATAGTGAGGGCGAAGGAGATGGGGTGTGGGAACGTAGTGGCCGAAAAACGGCTTCAGACAATGAGGCTATATCTATGCCCAAGGTCCACACCAGATAAAAGGTAAAATTCTCATAACACCCAATACAGACAGACGTTAGAAACAGGCCCCTATAATTATACCGGGACTTGGAATAGCAGGGTCCACCGCTATAGGAATATCTGCCTTAGTCACCGGGGACCAAAATTTCCAAACTCTTTCACATCAAATAGATGCAGAAATTGCCCATCTAGAAAATTCCCTCACCAAATTAGCTGAACAAGTAGACTCCTTAGCTAAAATGGTATTGCAAAATAAAAAGGGGTTAGATGTGTTGTTCTTGAGGGAAGGAGGGCCGTATGTGGCTCTCGGTGAGCAGTGTTGCTTCTATGCAAATAATTCTGGAATTATCCAAGACAGTCTTGCTATGGTTAGGAAAAACTTAGAAATGAGGAAACACCTCAGAGAGGCCTCAGGAAATTGGTACCAAAAACTGTTCTCTTGGTCCCCCTGGCTGACATCCCTGCTCACTGGGTTAGCAGGACCCTTGGTGCTAGTGGTTCTAGGGTTAACATTTGGACCATGCCTTTTAAACATGCTCTGCAAATTTATCCAGGAAAGAATAGATTCGGTAAAATTAATGGGTCTAAGATCCAACTATGGGCCTCTGTGTCAAAAAGAGGACACCTATTAAAGATTTAATTTATGTTATAAGAACGGGGCGAATGTGATATAGCTGGCCTAGAATTAGAACCAGTACAATGCCATTTTAAAATGGGAAAACTGTTTCCATTCTCCTCACAATGACTGCTAGCCATGGCTTCTGTAAACTACTAAGATTACCTTGCAAAATGCAAAGAGAGGAAAAGCTGCATACTTTCTCTTATCTGTACTGCCAGAATTGCTGGCCTTTGTTTACCAAAGTAAGCACCCCCAGATAATTCCATCCTGGCGCCAAGTAACCTAAAATTATGTGGACCCCACACCTGTCCAGATAATGTATAAACTAATGTTTATCTTGACCTCTGTAGACCACTTAAGTGGCAATCGGAATGACAAAAGTCTCCTGGCCCTTGGAATGTCTGGAGCCCCCTCACCCTCGTCTCAGCCTAGGAGGTGATTGACAGCTTTCATTCCCATCTCCGCTCCTCACCCCAACTCCCAAGGTGGTTTTGTGGGTATAAAAAGGTCTTGTCACTCTTCTTTCTCTGCCACAGTTTGGAGAGACGTGAGTCCTCCGTGGTCACCGGCAATAAACCCTGCAATTTGGCATACTTTTGTTCTGGTATTGACTTTCTGTGCTAAGTCCAATGCAACACTTAGTTGCTTTCTAGTGGTATTGATGGAGGTGGTGAGACAGACAATAAATACATAAGCTAATAGAACTATGAAGGAAGGAAAAGTAAGTGATGCAGTGCGGATAATGTACTTTTTAAGATAGGGCATCTAGGATTTCTCGAGGTAAGTGGAAAATGAAGAGGTTTAACTGGATGCTAAGGGGTGTTGCACATTAAAAGGAACGTGTTTCTGTCTTTTCACTGCTGTGTTCTAGGAAGGCCCACCAATGCCTCTAACCTGTAAATAAATACAAATCTATTTAAATCAAGTGATACATCAATTTTATGTTGCTTGATTTGGAAATAATCCACAAAAGAAGCAATAGGTAAACATTTTACTGTTGTTTGGGGAGTAGCTACTGGACTATAAACACCAAAACCATAACTTTTTAAAAACAACAAAAAAACAAAAACGCTGCTCGAGACAGATCGGAAATTAAGGTGTTTGAAAGGCGCCAGGTTATGACACTGTTTCCAGACATCCACAAGGCGCAAAAAGAAAATCTCACTAGTCAGCTTTGCACGTGCTCTGCGCTGGGTGCTCCTGCGTGTGCCTAGTCCCTCCCTGGCTGAGTCCAGGGAGGAGGAGCCAGAGGCGGGGCGACTGGAAGCAGCCGCCTCAGGGAAGCTGCAGGATTTCCGCAGGGCGGGAGCTGGTTACCTTCCGGAAGAAAACGGCTCTTGTCAGCTAAGTCTCGTGATTGCTCTAGGAGCTTTGCTTAGCCACTTCAAACTACAGAAGAAAGAAATATCTAGCAAAATATGGCTACAGAGAGTCCAGCTACGCGTCCGGTCCAGGTGGCAGAACATCCCAGGTCGGGGAGAGGCGACGCCGGGCTTTGGGATCTCCTGGGTTAGCTAGGTGTCGATGGGGTCCACAGCATTTAGCTGCTCCCTTGGGGTGCTGCTTTTGGTTCTGGGGAGTAGGTAGAACCCTTGGGGTTCTATAAGGACATGTAGCTGGGCTTGCAAAACAAATCACGCCGCAAACACATTCCACCTTGACTGCTACCAAGGGTTGTATGTTTTTTGCTTAATCCATGCAGATTTTTCTTATCCTTTTCTTGCTGTAATTAGTGCATTCTTTATACTGGCCTTAAGGAGAAATGCCCAAATCAACTTTGAACCCCTCACATGCCAGTTGATACTGCTTTTAAAAAGTCTTCTTTTTAAATAGTCATTGAAAAAAAACCCACAAAAACTCTTTTGGTCTCTTCATCCCCTTTAAAAAAAAAAAAAGCACGAGAATCTCAACTGTCACTCAGGAATTAATTTGCTGGCAGCCCCTAGCTACAGGGTAACTAATAGTTTAGTAGTGTAGTGATCTTTTCAATTACAGGTACATTGTAGAAATACTTCTTTCTGACTAATAGGGCTGAAATCTCATAAAATGAAGTCTCTTACCTGCTACATTAGCCAAGGGCTTTCCTGAGGTTGGCTTCTCTCTGCCTTTGCTGTTTTTAGCTTTTTTCTGCTAACTTTTTTCTCTGACATCAAGTCCTTAAGCTCTTCCTCCCTTGTGGTTTATTATCACCATGTGTCAGTTGATATTATACTTTACTACAACTTGAAAATATTCTGTCATCCTTAAACCAGCAATGTGTCTTTAGCTGCCAGAAAGAAGCATAATTCCTTATTATAGAGTACAGCCCAGCTTTGGACTGCTTCTCAGTGTCTTTGAATGCTTTAATGTACTTAAGAGGATCTTGCATAGCACTGTTGCCTTTATGTGTTTGAATGAATTAAGACACACTGTTAAAGGCATGCTTCCAATAACATTCATGAGAAATTTGTTACATGAAAATAACCCGATCCCTTGTAGTTTAGTTTTTTTTTTTTTCTTTTTCTTTTTTTTTTTTGAGACGGAGTTTCGCTTTTTTTTTACCCAGGCTGGAGTGCAATGGCGCGATCTCGGCTCACCACAACCTCCGCCTCCTGGGTTCAGGCAATTCTCCGGCCTCAGCCTCCTGAGTAGCTGGGATTACAGGCACGCGACACCATGCCCAGCTAATTTTTTGTATTTTTAGAAGAGACACGGTTTCACCATGTTGACCAGGATGGTCTCTATCTCTTGACCTTGTGATCCACCTGCCTCAGCCTCCCAAAGTGCTGGGATTACAGGAGCGAGCCACCGCGCCCGGCCCTTTTTTTTTTTTTTTTTCTTTTTAAGACAGTCTAGCTCTGTTGCCAGGCTGCAGTGCAGTGGCATGATCTCCATTCCTAGTTTCAAGCCATTCTCTTGCCTCAGCCTCTTGAGTAGCTGGGATTGCAGGTGGGCGCCACCACACCCAGCTCTTTTTTGTATTTTTAGTAGAGATGGGTTTCGACATGTTGGCCGGGCTGGTCTCAAACTCCTGACCTCAGGTGATCCGCCCGTCTTGGCCTCCCAAAGTGCTGGGATTACAGGTGTGAGTCACTGAGACTGGCCTGTAGTTTAGTCTTTTACATAAAACGTATCCATGTATAAATTCCTAATATGTTTCCATTTTATATGATTTTAATAATAAAGATCAACATTTCTATCTATATTTACCCTGTTTGGGGGAGGATGGTGATAACAACTTTAGGTACATGTACTAAAAGTGAAGAATTGTTTACTGAATTTCCTTAGTGTTCCTTCTCGCTTTCCATGTTTTTTTTTTTTTTTTTTTTGAGACGGAGTTTTGCTCTTGTTACCCAGGCTGGAGTGCAATGGCGCGATCTTGGCTCACCGCAACCTCCACCCCCTGGATTCAGGCAATTCTCCTGCCTCAGCCTCCTGAGTAGCTGGGCTTACAGGCACACACCACCGTACCCAGCTAATTTTTTGTAGTTTTTAGTAGAGACGGGGTTTCACCATGTTGATCAGGATGGTCTCGATCTGCCGACCTCGTGATCCACCCGCCTCGGCCTCCCAAAGTGCTGGGACTACAGGCTTAACTCACCGCACCCGGCCTCATGATTTTTATATTGTTCATTCATGTGACAAATATTTATTGTTAATATTTATTCTGTGTTATCCACAGACGAGATCATAATAGATAAGGTCTACCATTTTCTTGTTTTCCATTTGTGTGCAAAATGTAATTATTACCTTCAAGCAATGTTTTATTTGCAGGAATCTTTTGCAGCACTTAACTCATTTTAAATGGGATGTATTTTGTTAAATCTAAATAGTATAATCTGTAAATTCACCTAAGCAGTCAAATATTGCAACATGCTGAGAAGGAAAAAAATAAACAAAGACCACATGGTCAGCCTTCCTGTGGAATTCTGTTTTTTTTTCTTTTCAGGATGCCTCTTCAACCTCATAGGACACATGATCCTTTGAGTAAAAAAACTAGTCAACCATATTATACATTTTAGTAAAATGTAATTTCTTTATTATTTTTATGTAAAAATCAAATGGAAATCAACGTTCTAATATTTTGTTTCTGCATCCCACTCTTGCGTGGTACCTGTACTCTAAATTTCACTGTTCTAGTTTTCTTTGCATTCTTAGCACTTGTTCTCTTATCTTTACTTTCTCTTTGGGATTAAGTTTTTAAATCGTCAGATTATTATTTTTATAGCAGTTTTAGTGACATTCATGTATCATATAACTCATTTAGAGTTTGCAATTAAATGGCTTTTAGTGTATTCATAGAGCTGTGCAACCATCACCATAATCAAACTTAGAACGTTTTCGTCTCAGAAAGAATCCAGCCATTCCTTAAATTAGTACACCCCAGAACTCCATTGCCTTTCCCCTACCCTTAAACAACTACTCATCTGTTTTCTGTATTTATAGATGAGTCACTTTGGACATTTCAAATAAATGGAATCACATAAAATATGGGTTTTTTGTTTGTTGTTTTTTTTTTTTTTTTTGGTGACTGGCTTCTTCCATGTGGCATAATGTTCTGAAGGTTCATGTATCAGTATATCATTTAACATGCATCAATACGTCATTCCTTTTTATGGCCAAATAATATTCTAGTTTATGGATTTACATTTTGTTTCTATTTTCAATACTTGATGGACATTTGGATTGCTTCCACCTTTTGGCTCTTATGAATTATGCTGCTGTATGAACACATTCTTGAGTCTCTGTTCTACAGTTGAGCTAGTGGGTGACAATGAATACATTCTTAATGTTAAAAATTTGGATTACTGAGAAGTATATTCAGTAAAGCCGGAAAATCCCACAGTTTCCTCACTATTGTCTCTGATTTCTACCCTGGGCTGCCAATTTCTACTTCCGTTCTTAGAAGTTTCCATTTGGTTTGTATCCTCATAATATCATTGTATCCTTACATCATTGTTACTGTATTTATAAAAATGATATAGTCACATAAGTCCAATAATTATATTTGTTGTTTTTTACTTACTTTTTTCACTTAATCTTTCTCAGATATTCTGGCATATCAGTTCATACAGACATATTTCACTATTTCTTTCTTTCTTTTTTTTTTTTTTTGAAATGGAGTCTTGTTCTGTCGCCCAGGGGCTAGAGTGCAGTGGCACGATCTTGGCCACTGCAGCCTCTGCCTCCTGGATTCAAGAGATTCTCCTGTCTCAGTCTTCCAAGTAGTTGGGATTACAGGCATGTGCCACCATGCCGGGCTAATTTTTGTATTTTTAGTAGAGATGGGGTTTCACCATGTTGGCCAGGCTCGTCTCAAACTCCTGACCTCAAGTGATCCACCTGCCTTGGCCTCCCTGGGATTACAGGCTTAGCCACTGTGCCCTACTCTGTTTTTAAGGGCTGAGAGTATTTTCTAATATGAATACCATTATTTATTTAACCATTCAACATTTAGTACACTTAGATTTCAAATTTTTCTGTCTTGTAAATGATGCTGCAACAAACATCCATATATATATCCATATATATATATATATATATGGATATATATATGGATGTATATATTCTCTGAGCATTTGTGTGAATTTTTAAAAGCTCATTCATGAA